CCCGATCTGCCGACAAACAGCTGATCGGCAGATCGGGGCAGCCATTTAAATTTAAATGAAGCCGCGATTATTTTAATCGCGGCTTCATTTCCCTCTTCCGATGTGGCTAATCTACATGCCTCCGTCGAAGGAGGCATGGAGTCTGGACACAGCCTCAGTTAACCAACTATTCAGTTAACCAATTAAATGGGATTTTACATCCCCACTATGGACATAGCCACATTATTATCATGCAGGCACAGAGTGCTGTACAGAAAACCAGTCTCAGAATCTGGAACATGCTTTTTCAGATTCATCTTCTATATTTAGAATCAGTTTTTACATTCCCATTGTTACTGGCATCATGATCAGGGCAGCAAAAAAGATAAAATGTTCTGTTTTGGAATAATTACACTTTCACCATCAATGTCAAATCCTTATCCTGTTTCAGAATCTTTATCTAATAACTAGTCAGTACACTTCTTCATTACTTTTTCATCTGAAGAAATCTGGCTCTAAATCTTTGGAGGGGGGAGGAGCCTTCAACACCCTTAATCAAGAAGTAAATGACCTTTTTTGAATTGGGTGAGTTTAATTACTAAAAAACTATGAAGGAAGAGATGAATCCTTATGTGATCTCTAGAATGGATTAGTGTAATGTGTTCTAGTTGGGCTGCATCCTGTACTTGAAATTATTTGCCTACTTAATGTATTTATTTCTATTGGATACTGACTAACATGCTAATATGTGCTCTGAAGTCTGTACTGTCTTACAAGTGGAAGCAAATTGGAATACACAAGGCCAATCAGAGGGAGGGTTGAGAAGCCATTTGGCCTGGGCCTCAAAACTCAAATGCAGACATCTGTTAATTTTTTCATAGATTTTGCTACTTGTTTTTATGCACATCCCCATCAGAACAAAAAGTGATATAATCTCTCAGCTTAGAGTTGCACATTTAAGCAAATAAGAGGTGAAAAAGGCTAGAAAATAATTTGTTAAATACAAAAATAGCAAATTAAGTCTCTCTCATTTTTGGTGCCTTATTCTGTTTTTGTGTGATAGCTGATAGCAATCTGATAGCTTTCTTTGATAGAATAACATGCCTTGTGGATAAGAGAGAAGTGGTGGACGTGCCATACCTAGACTTTAGTAAGGCATTTGACACGATTTCGCATGGCCTTCTTAACAATAAACTAAGGAAATACAACCTAGATGGGTGCATAACTGGCTGGATAACCATTCTCAGAAAGTAGTCCTTAACAGTTCACAATCATGCTGGAAGGGCATAACAGGTGGGGTTCCACAATGATCTGTTTTGGGACAAGTTCTGTTCAATATCTTCATCAATTATTTAGATGATGGCATAGAGCAGCCGTGGCCAACCCGTGGCTCATGAGCCGCATGCAGCTCTTCTCCCCTCCCCCCCACGGGGTGTGGGTCGTGAAACACCCGCATCCCTCCGTAGCTCATAAAGCCTCCACCAAAAACGGTCCTCTCCTCCCGGCTCCCTGTGCTGACCTGGGCAGGGGAGCTGTCCAGTGCGGCCATTGAAAATGGAGAATGGGAAGAGATTGTACTGCTGAAAGGGATTTAGGGGTATAAGTAGACCACAAGCTAAATATGAGTCAACAGTGTGACGCTGTTGCAAAAAAACGAAACATGATTTTGGAATGCATTAGCAGGTGTGTTATGAGCAAGACATGAAAAGTAATTCTTCTGCTCTACCCTCTGGTGATTAGGCCTCAATTGGAGTATTATGTCCAGTTCTGGGTACCACATTTCAAGAAAGATGTGGAGAAATTGGAGAAGGTCCAGAGAAGAGCAACAAAAATGATTAAAGATCTAGAAAACATGACCTAGGAGGAAAGACTGAAAGAATTGGGCTTGTTTGGTTTAGAATAGAAAATACTGCAAGGGGACATTATATAGTTTTCAAGGACATACAAGGAGAAAGGAGAAAAATTGTTCTCCTTGGCCTCTGATGATAGGACATGAAACAATGGGCTTAAAATTGCAATAAGGGAGCTTTATGTTGGACATCAGAAAAAACTTCCGAACTGTCAGGGTGGTTAAACACTGGAATAAATTGCTTAGGGAGGTTGTGGAATCTTCATCACTAGAGATATTTAAGAGCAGGTTGGATAGACAGCTATCAGGGACATCTATCTAGACAGTGCTTGATCCTGCCATGAGGCATGGGAATGGACTCGATGATCTCTTGAGGTCCCTTCCAGTTCTAAGATGTTTTTATTTTTATTATGACTAGGGGTCAAAAGCTGGAAGTGACCCAGGCCTCTCTGGACCTCTGAGAGGATCTGGTAATACAAAACATTGGTTTTAATCTTTTATATAAAGTTTTAAATGGTTAGGATCTCTGCTCCTTTTGGGTACACTTAAACTATGATAAAGGTGGTGGAATATACAGGGCAAGTTGTATTTTAACATATGTTAGTTGGTTAAGGTGAACGTAACAGAGAGAACAATCCTGATTTCAAGTCTAGCTTCATCTTGAGCATGTAACACATGCAGGATACATCTACATTCAATCTGGAAGGTATAATTTCAGTTTGAGTAGACATACCGGTGCTTTGACTGAGCTAGAGCACTAATAATAGAAGTGTAGCTGTAGTGGTGGAAGTGGCAGAAGGGGCTGCCTGCCCTGAGTATGGGTACATACATGGGGCAGCTAGTCCCTCCTGTCCCTAAAGCAACAGTTGTATTTTTGGCATGACAGCTTGATCACCTCTGGGCTCAGCAGAGAGGCAGCAACAAGGAGGCTGTTCATAGTTTCTGTGGTCTTCTCTACAATGGTTCCAGACCCAGTATAGATCAGACAGACCTGGAGTCTGCTCTAATCTATAGCATCTGGCTATAGCCTGTAAGGGAGCTTCTGCCAGCCAAAAATTACCTGAGCAAAGTGCATTCCAAACCTTCCCCCCTTCTTGCGCATCAAGGGCTGAAGGAAAATGAATATCAGTCACCTATATTAGCTGTATGCTTCCTGGAGGTTCCTCCATACTGGGATAATCTGTACTGGGTAAAAAGAGCCAGTTTCTGTCCTTTCTGTGGTGTGTAGTTGATACAAAGTACAGAGTGAGTGAGACAAATGGGTCTTACTTCAGGAAATCTTTCCTCATGTGACATTCTGCCAATCCCTAATTTAACACTGTAATCTTCCTCTGGATTTTTCTAATCCCAGCATGTACTTTTTAACAAGTGTGGTCTATAGACACAGAAGCATGTCAACTATAGCTGGACATTATTGTATTTTCCCTTATTAAGGTTGCAAAGGTAGTATTAAATTATATCACCACATGCTGTATAAAGCAAGCCATGGTTGCGGGATTTTATTTTCAATTACTATACCAATATTGGGAATTAGGTCACTATTACAAATATCCACAAGTAATGTCACCTAGCTAACAATGTGCTGCTTTATCTCAATTCAGGTTTGGACCATTAAGAAACAACTAGTTTTGCACATGATAATGCAGCCTGAGTAAGGAGCAACATGTTAGGAGCAGGGTGAGAGCTTAAGCACAGCCTCTTTCCTCACAGCCTCATCCCTGCTTCTCCTTGCACTCAGTGGAAGGTCAATGGCAATTTTCCTCTGTGCTGGTTCAGCTGCACTGGCCGCTCCTGATCCTGATCTATACAAGATCAAAGACACTAACAAAGACAGTAACTTTATCATAATACACTGGCATTATGACAAACACATTTATCATAATACACTAGGGTGAAGCCTACTTTGATAATACTAGCACTGAAGTAACACTAACATCTTAATATTCTGAAAAGCTAGTACTGATGCTGCACCCCAGTTGAGCCCTGGCAGACTCTATCCTCCATTCCCACCCACCTTGCTTCCTTTTACAAGTTAAGAAATATTTGCATTTATTTTTCTGTACAAATAGCTCCAACAAGCCTTCAGATAAGGATCCAAACTTTGCTACACATTTCTGAATCAAACATCCAGTGTTTCAAGTTAAACATTCACTTAAATACATGCACTTTCATGCTATATGTGAGCAGGTAGTAGGAGTGATTCACTTCTAAATATAAATTCTTATGATTATTAATGATTCCATAGAACTCTTCAGAAGAGCAGACGGGGTGTGTTCCAAAGTCCTAGGAAAATTCCAGTTCTAATAATTATAGAATACTCTGCCCACTGTAGCGCTATAGTGCTAGCCTGTTTGCTTGCTTATATAGCTTTTCTTATAGTTTTGATTATTTGCATATAAAACCACATCTACCTCAAACAATATTATTGCATTTCTAATTCTGATTATTTTCCATTTTATTACCAGTATCTCAATACAAGTTTTAAAGCTGCATTTTGTTCTCATTGTGAGTGTCCTTGTCTTACATCCCAGGTGTCCTTGCAAACTGTATGTAGCCTGATTCTGAGACATGAAATTTATGATCAGATTAATTTGCGAGCCTATAAACAATAAACAATATTATTAATCTCCTAAAAACAAGCCACGCTAGCATGGTTAGTTACCACTGTTACACAGGATGAATAGATAATTTTAACTCAGGATAAGTATGTACTTTTCCATTGTATGTACATTTTACATGAATATAGGAAATACATAATCAGAGACACTAATTTAGCTACACTAAATACATAATCAGAGACACTAATCTGAGGCTACATCTAGACTGCAGCGCTTTCTCAGGATACTAGAGGTATCCTAGAAAAACACTGCTGCATCCAAGGAAAGCATCTGCTTTTTTGAAAAAAATTCGGAAAAGAGAATGTGTTCTTTTGCCATCCTTGCAAACCTCGTTTTACGACGAATAAGGGATGTGCCAAAAGAGGAGGTTTTTCTGAAATTTGGTGCTGAGTAGATGTGCCAAATTTTGAAAAAGACTCTTTTGGAAGAAAAGCAAAACAAGATATGCAAATTGTGATTTGCAATTTGCATATCTTTTTCTGACTTTTCTTTGTAGTGTAGACATAGAATGAGAGGTAAGGTAGGAAGAGGTAATATATTTTATGGGCAAGAGAGACAATCTTTGAATTTGCACAAAGCTCTTCTTCAGGTTTGACTATCTGAAATAATTGCCAAGGGCAACTATTATACATTTTCCTTGCCTCTTCTATTAGATATAGCATTTTTGTCACTTCTTATCCCATAGCTATTCTGTCATTTCACAGTATACTCTTAAGAATAGCTACACTTTCAGAGTTGGTGAAATGATACCTGTATTCATGTGTGTGTTGTTTTTACAATGCTTTCAGATCTTTCAGGATGAAAAAATTTATAAGGGAAAACTATTATCATGACTTATTTCAGGTGCAAAAAAATTGCAATATATTAGAAACACCACACATTTTAGTTGTAAGCACAATGAGTATCAGTAATTTTGCACTTACCCAATTGACTGAATGCCATTTCGATAAGATTTAATGAAGTAGTTTTTCCTTCCTTGCCTACTGATATCAACCCAACCACCATCGTTGTCTAGGATACCATAATGTATGGCAGCTCTACAAATGCTGGATTGCTAAAAAATGAAGCAAGAACATAATTTCTATGTCAGATGAAATAATTGTTTTCCTTTATGTTTTAAATGTGAAAAGGCTACTCAGTTTACAATTGTACCCAATATTTACATTTCATAGAATCATAGAACCATAGAGCTGGAAGAGACCTCAGAAGGTCATTTGTTAAAGCTACTCAGTCTTATGCCTTGCAGTCATCATCTGGGGATTCCTTTACACAGAGATAGCCACTTAAACCTTCTGCCCTTAAAGTGAGGCCACCCAGTAGAAACATGGTCCTGAATCCAGCCCTTACCAAACTTGGAGTATTACCAGCTGGGTCTGGGTCTGGAGCCTCCACAAACATCCCTATTAAACTTGTTGTAGTTGAGGTCACCATCACCCCACATGAAAAAACAATTCTGCCATTGCTCACAGTACTCATTCATACTAATTTATAGTGTCTATTGTTTCTTTCTTTTTTTAGTGCTCCAAAGTGATATGCAACAGGATAAAGCTAAAGAACCAGATATTTTAAACTAAGGATTAAATTTATATATCTAGACCCATGTTCCCACAAACAGCCTATAAATATGCCCCCACAAAATCCTAAACAATATTTGTACAGATTTATAGCTGTCTAAATGGTCTGCATTCAAAAAATCCTGCATATATTCACAAATATGAGGTTTTATATAGCCATAAATTACATGTTTAGAAGCTCAGGAACAAATCTAGACAAAGTTGAGGCTACCTTACAAAATTGCTGTAGACTTTTTACTTCTATGAGCATTTATTTCTTTTGAATGCATTCTTGCTAATAACTAACACTTTCGCTAATATTACAAATTAAAAAACCAGAATTCCATTAATTATAACTATACTAAACACAATTTAAAAATATATATGTTTACCATTTCATAATGAACACTTCCAATCACTTTGCCCTTACTGTCCAAGCAGCCAGCAGGACATTCATACCTAAAGATTAAAAATGCAAATTGATTTGAGAACCTATGGTTACAACAGGAAAATATATTAGTTAACATATACACAACACTCTTTAGAAGAATCTCAGATACTCAAATTGTAGAAGGTCTCATACCTATTGCAAGTTGTCCCTTTGCACTGGTCTCTTAGCCTTACTTCACAAGAAACAATCTGAGCTAAATAACAAAAAGCCAGTATCATTAAAATATCTTAGAAAGCTTTTTGTACACTTGGTTCAAATTAGTTAGCATATAAAAAAATGCAAACTCCTTACACATTTGCTGTGTGCTTATTACTTCATTTCTTTCACTATCATCATTTCTTGTGGAGCCTGTAGGTGAATGGGTCCTTGATCGACTTTGTGATGTTGTATCCTGTGCTTTGGATTGCTGCCGTTCAATCTCATTGGTTTCCTCCTCCGGCTCATGAGGGGAGTAAGACCTGTCCGAACCCTCTGTTTTAGTGAATGAATGAGACAAAATTATTTTTCAGAACAGATTTTCATCAATTTTTATAAAGGTCACTGACAAAGTGGCAACTCTGTGAATATTCGTGCTTTTAATATTCTGTCTTCATGGAACAGTTTCAAAAGAGATCGATGAACAAAATAAAAAAAGTGGTCCTTCCATTGACTAATGGTATCCATCAGCTAGATGGATAGCTGATGCTTGGTAACATATACCATATACCTTCTTAAGTCTTACATGGATGTCTTCTTCACTTTCTAGCACTTACAACCTAGTTTTAGGTGTGAATGTGCTGGCGGCAATATTTCTATTTTAACATCTTCCCTCTGTCATCAGGATCTATAGATCCTGGATCCAGGATCTATAGATCAATATTGGACTTCTAAATCTATATCTACCTGAAATTAGGCTCTTTTCTAGGCACCTTAATAAAGATCCTAATTTTCAGAGATGTTCACGTCTAAATGTAACTCTCTTATTTAGGTACTTAGATGTAAGCACCTAACTGTGACCCAGATGAACAGCTGAAGAATTTTATTCAGTAATCTTACTTTTCAAAAATATTAATAAGTGACTAAGTCACTTATATTAAAAAAATATCAGCTTTACAGTCTCCTTCATTCTAATGATAAAAAAATACAGTTTTGAAAAATGTAGACAGTAATAATGATACAAGTTGGAATTTTACTGGAATTAGTATATTCTTTTTGCTGCCATTTTTTTTTCTTTGGTGTTTTGCTGAGATAGCAGGAATTTCTATTTAAACAAATTATTAAAAAGAGTTTTCAGTGACTTATAAGTAAGTGACATAAACTGTATACAGTGCATCATGCACTGCTGTCAATGGGAACTCAGCACACAGCTATTCACCAGAAGGACTCAGATTGTCGAATCATGCCTTTAATAATTGCTGGAGCAAAATTTATAGTACAGTATATGTTCCAATATTTTAGAGCATAACAAAGAGAGAAAACAAAAATGGTGTATTTATGGTATCCAACCACACAGTCCAATTGCAGGTGCATTTGTTGTAATCATAGAATAGAATAATAGAATCCTAGGGCTGGAAGAGACCTCAGGAGGTCATCCAGTCCAGCTCCCTACTGAAAGCAGGACCAATCCCAATTAAACCATCCCAGCCAGGGTTTTGTCAAGCCAAGACTTAAAAACCTCGAGGGATGGAGATTCCACCACCTCCCTAGGTAACCCATTCCAGTGCTTCACCACCCTCCTAGTGAAATAGTTTTTCCTTATATCCAACCTAGACCTCCCCCACTGTAAGTTGAGAACATTGCTCCTTGTTCTGCCATCCGTCACTATTGAGAACAGCCTCTCTCCATCCTCTTTGGAACCTCCCTTCAGGAAGTTGAAGGCTGCTATCAAATCCCCCCTCACTCTTCTCTTCTGCAGATTAAATAAGCCCAAATCCCTCAGCCTCTCCTTGTAGGTCATGTGCTCCAGCCCCCTAATCATTTTGGTTGCCCTCTGCTGGACCCTCTCCAATGCATCCACATCCTTTCTATAGTGGGGGCTCCAGAACTGGACACAATATTCCAGATGTGGCCTCACCAGAGCCGAATAAAGGGGAATAATCACTTCTCTAGATCTGCTGGAAATGCTTCTCCTAATGCACCCCAATATGCCATTAGCCTTCTTGGCTACAAGGGCACACTGTTAACTTATATCCAGCTTCTCATCCATTGTAATCCCCAGGTCCTTTTCTGCAGAACTGCTACTTAGCCTGTCAGTAATGGTACATACCCCTGTAGCAAAGATTTTCTCTGCAACCTCCTCCAAAACTAGGTGGACATGCAGAACAAGGGCGGCCATGTTTGTAAGGAGCATGGCCCCACCAATTGCCCCTGAAAAAGAAAAATGCATTTTTGTTAATATTAACATCATTTCAATATGTGGCCAAATAAAATGAGGAAAAACTTGTTTCAATGTACAGTGATATTTGAACTGTGATGTTGTTAAAATAAACCAGAACTCCAAAAGGGAGTCTGAGAAACTAAGGCAGTAGCATGGTCAGGTGCTGGATCAGGTGAAACCCGTTACTCATCAGTGATGGGCAACCTAGAATAGTGAATGAACCATATAAGTTGCCCTCCTTCATCTCACTGGGTTACAAGATTGTTGTAACCAAGATGGTCTCCTGACAGGTATGCAAGCACAATTAGCAAAACTACCCTAGAATTTGTGGGAACTACTGACTGAACCATAACTGCACTTTGAATGCAGAGGGTTTGCATGGCTCTCACAGTCAATGTTGTGTACCATCAGCATGCACCTTACTTCATGTGCCCTTGCTTTACGTCTGTGTCACTTTAGTACTATAATAGGGAAAAACTATTCAGACAGAAACCAGTGGAATTGTGGGCAATAGTAAACAAAATGTCTTGGGGGCCACACACAGAACCTGTGGGCCATGAGTTAACTACCACTGCTGTTACTAGTGTGCCACCAGAGCTAAATTCCTCCACCATAAGTGAATGGGACTTCCACGGTCCTGGACTTCAGTCAACCGACGGTATAATTTGACTCTAAGCATGTCAGCTCTATAAATGATGACTCTATTGTTTATTTAGTCATGTTATACATCTGCTAAAATAATTATGAAGAGATAACTTTATTGTGGCCTGATGTATCATTTTGTCTGGAAAATAAAGGTCTCTAGCTCTAGAGAGATTGAAAGAAAAAAAGTCAGGCAAGAAAATGGCCTGCTTGTGCTTTCATTCAGCAATGACTTAAGTAGGAATAAAGCATTTTTGTGGCTGTGCAGAAATAGAAAAAATTAATTTGATTTTCTCTGGAATTATCTCCTGGATTATGAAGTATTTTTCCCTTTCGGGATACCTTTTATAGTAAACGTTAGCCTACTATATATACTTACTTGGGAGAATAATTGCATACTAAGTAGACTGCTTTTGGCCATATCTGTCCCCAGATGTTCATATTATGACACAAGTTAATAGCACAACCTATCCTGCTACTTGTAGCCCATACCACCTAAATGACAGAAAACAAAAATACATGTGAAAATTAAAGGAGTGATTAACATGCACATGTACCCGAAACACTGAACTAACTGCACAACAAAGCAGTAATGATTCGGTCTCTCTCATACTCGTATGCACTTTTGGATTCATGCATGAAGATCAACTATTATTTAATGTTTGAATATTGAAAACCAAGGATGATGTACATTTGTCACTGCAAGTCAGATCTCTGGCTAGTATGAATCTGTGTTGTTCCAGTGACATCAATGGACTAATACTCATTTTCACCAGAGAATGATATGGCCATTCAGTTATGCCCCTCGTCACTAGGAACATTTTTATGCTGATGAATAAGGTAATCTGGGGGTGTATCTAACAGTGTAATCAAAATGCAAACATCTCATCTGAAGAACAGTTATATACACAAAAAAAAGTTAAGCTGTAAGAAGTTGGGCAATTACATATTACTGTTACAAACACAATCTAAGAACACAGAAGAAATTCAGAATTAGATAGGTAGACAATAGCCAGCCATGAGCAAGCAATTAACACAAGTAATTAAACTACTAACAAAGGGCTTCAGTCACTGAAAACACTCATGTCTACTAAAGACCACAGATTTTAAACAATTAGGAAATTCGTGTCACTGTAGCTGAGAGGCAATTTGTATTTCTTCATGAAGCTGAAACAAACTCTTATGACAGAATTTTTAAAAGTTTCTGAAAAACTAAAGGCTTGGATTTTCCAAAGTGTTGAAGGAGTTAGGTGTCCAGCCCCCATTTAATTAAACGGGAGTTACAAATCTCATTCTCCTAGGCCACGGGTGGAGAACCATTTTTGGGGCGGGGAAAATGACCAACAGAAAAATCAGTCAGGGAACCACACACAAGTGAGAAGCAAAGATAAAACAAAAATCAAAAATTGATTGAGAAGGAGGAAGACACTCCCCCCATTCCTCTTGCACACTAGAGCTTAGGGGTGCCCTGGCTAGTAGATTTTGTGTGTCCAGCTCAGTTAAATTCCAATAAGTTAAATTCTAGGGTCCGTACCCAAAGCAAATGGATAACAATACAGACTGAATGAAAACTTAGTAAGGACCTTAGACTTGTGCTCCCGAGAATGGTAGGATCATGGTGCTTCCAAATTTTCTTTCAGGTGTTTCCCTAATACTGTCCTGCTGAGGCAACAAGGATTACAACTATGAACAACAGGAATAACTATGTGGTAAACCACACGCACATACCTGTGTATAATGAGTGCAAACAGGACCAGAACATCTGTAAGGACAATAGGGATTGCATTCTTGAGGGTAAGGGTAGGTGAAGTCTCTCACTTCGTCATACCATGCCTGGACATGAAATGTTGGAGGCCTATATCTATAAAAAACAGCAATTTCTGATAAAATTATAACCATACTAGAACAACTCTAAAAAAATGCATCTTTCAACACTCTGGCTATGTCTACACAGCAGCGTTATTTTGGAATAACTGATGTTGAGATGGAAGACTTCTTACTCAGACTCTTGTAACCCTCATTTTACGAAGAGTAAGGGAAGTCGTAGGAAGAATGCTCTAACTTGGACTTCCTGCTGTGTGTACAGCCTCAAAAGCTGAAGTAAGCTATTTTGACAAACTACGGAATTGACGTAGCTCAAGTTACATAGCTTATTTTGGCTTTAGCCCTGCTGTGTAGAGGTACCCTCCGACTTTAAATAAGAAGTAGATATCCATATGGTTAAAAATAATGAGATAAAAATCATATCTTAAACTACCTTCCCCAATGTGCCCCCAAATTCTGTCCAATTGATGGAAGAAGGCTTGCAGGTCCATGTTCCCATAGACAAGTTTCAGCCCAGGATTCTGCAGATCTCTCCAGCTCTACATCCCACACCTACAGTTCCAGAGGGAAAAAAAAGATAGCCACAAAATATATCTAAAGTAGAGCCTATTTCATGTATTTGAAAAGAATCTCACCCAAACTATTTATTTAAGTTTCTTGTTTTTCGGTTAAAAAGGCAGCTTTAAATAGCTTATGTCCTATTTGTGTTATGTAAGTCTTCTCACAATATTAAAAAATGACTCCCTCCACCCCCCATCTAAACAAATGCAGCAGGAGTTGTGTAGTGCAGGAAAGATAAATTATGAAATTGACAAGCTTAGTTCTATTTTCCAGGTTGCTTTGTGAGATTTCCTTTTGTATCAGAAGGTACAATTCTTAGCCAAAAAGGTATTATCCAACACATTTTCAGAATAAAGGTCCCTGCCTCAAACCAACAGTTTATCTGAAATGAAAGGGGTTTTCTCCTCCTTTTTTCCTACTAAGCTCTTTTAGAAATAACATACCATCCAAACACCTACTTGAGGAACAGTGCAATCTTCCAGAATCTAAACAAAATTATTGTCCTTGCTGTATGGTTGGGCTGGTAAAATAAGTTATGTTCACCATGTGAAGCAATTCAGTATGCCACCAAGTGGAAAATATTTCTGTCAACTCCAAAGTGGTTTACAAAAGTAAAATAAACTGATATATGAATTATGGTCTGTTTATCACAATGTCCTTTAGAAGCAATTGTAGGAGTCAGCTTATTGCTGAGAGACAAATAGAAACTTGGAAGTTCCCTCTCTTTCCAGCCATATGAAACCTCAGCTTCTCTGTGAGCATATCACTAGTAGAGCATATCTCCACATCTCACTGTGTTTGTATTGTCTGTACAACTATGCACTCACCATGCAATATTAACTTTAGAAAAGGTTTTTGTCAAAGTAGAGCAATGTATCTTTTTTTTTTTAGTTCAAGCACCATTTAATGCTGCCTGACTTTGTCTAATTTCTTAACTGATAGTTACAGAAACTGCTTCCAAATGTTTGAAAAGTTATCTTGGATTGACTGGATCTGAAATTCCTCAGGTAGTCAGACTGGAATCAAGGATTTTCTATGAAGCAAATACATTTATTGATGGAAAACAAAATTATACCTTTGTATTTTTGCTCTAACAGTTCCTTAAACATGAATTTGTGTTATTAAAAAAAAGTTATTCCGTGCGTCCTAACACCACTTTCCCATGAAAAAGCTGGACTTGCCATCTAAAATCTATAGCAGAATCAAAAACTGAAAACTGACATGTCTCAAGAAATTCAGCCAAAGTTTCATGAATGTTATCATAGTCAATGTTTCATTGTCATATCTTGCTATGTTGTTGCAGATCTGTTTGCCTCGTAGGGCATGTCTACACTAAGAAATTATTTCAAAATAACTACATTTGAAATAACAGCTCCCGGAATAACAAAATTGAAATAGCATGTCCCCACTACAGGAGAACCTTAAAATTAGTCCAAGGCAGGCTCTGTTATTGTGGATACACTAACTCCTTAGTGTAGACCAGGGTTTAGTAACCAGATACTTACTGTAAATTCAATGTGCTTTTGGTTACACATTTTACCAAGAAGTTTAGCAGACTTTGATCTCCTATTTCAATAAAAATTTGATCATAGTACTTCCAGTCTCTGAATACTATCTCTCACCGCACAAAAAATTATTTCAAGAAGTCTCTAACAGAGTGGCTTCTTTCTTCTCTTTAATCATCATCAAAGGGACTCGCTCGAAATTGAGGATGGTTGTCTTTCATCCATTGTCCAATTCAAATGATCAGTGGGTCTGCTGATGGCTCGTAAGGCCTATTCTGGAGCCACAGATTCAGACTTTTTTTTTTCTGAGCAGAGCAGGCAAACCACAGGTATTAATTCAGGTCATAGCATGCTCTTTTTGTCACTTCCATTTTTCTGTTACTTTGAGAATCAAATGCAATTTCATTTCTTCTCTCAAGCTACGTCTAGACTGCAATCCTCTTTCTAAGAGGCTTTTTCAAAAAAGAGCGTCTAGACTGCAACCAGTACTTTCGAAAAAGCAAGCCGCTTTTTCCAAAGAGAGCACCCAGGCAGTCTGGATGCTCTCTTTCGAAAAAGCACAGTTTGCATTCCATAGCGCCTTTTTTCGAAAGAGCACTTTCGAAAAAAGGCGTTATTCCTCATGAAATGAGGAGTGCCACCATTGAAAGAAAAGCCGCGTTCTTTCGATTTTATTTCAAAAGAACGCGGCAGTAGTCTAGACGCAGGTGAAGTATTTTCGAAAAAAGGCTACTTTTTTCAAAAAAACCTTGCAGTCTAGACACAGCCTTAGATTTTGTTGGATTTTTTTTCCTGTAAAAAAATTTTACTTTTTAACAAAAGTGAAAGTTGAAAATTTTTAGCTAAGAACTGTTAATCTATTTATTTCAATTGTCTACTATTTTTCTACAAAAATTGAAAAGTATCTTCTCTGAAAAAATTACATTAATTTTTCATTTAGATGAAAAATCCAATTTTGTCATAAAGATGTTGATCAGCAATTTTTGATCAGCTCAACTTTTGTTGTCACCTCTCCTCAGCTTCTAGTATTTATCAGGGACTGAAGACTTTTTGAACTTAGCTCATGAGACCATCCTTTTTTGTAGGTAGGAAAGGAAGGGCCAAAGAGGGGTGATGATATCATTGCCTGGAATCCATCCTAGAGAGAGAAGGCTCCAGACTGGGAGGTGCAGAAGGAAATGTCACACTGTCGGGGTATGTCTAGACTACATGGTTTTGTCGACAAAAGTGGACTTTTGTCGACAAAACTATACCTGCGTCTGTACTGCAGCTGAGTTCTGTCGACATAACGTTGACAGAACTCAGCAGTTTTGTCGACCTCATTCTGCGAGGAATAATGCCTTTTGTCGACAGAGTTCTGTAGATAGAAGGCGTTATTGCATCTACACTGTCCTTTGCGTGTACACTGTCATGTCGACAAAGTGGCTTGCTTTGTCAACAGAACTGGATGTAGTCTAGACGCTCTTTGTTGACAGAAGCTTTGTCGACAGTATCTGTCAACAAAGCTTCTGTTGACAAAAGCCTGTAGTCTAGACGTACCTTCAGAGCCCCTACACAACTGGGCCTTTCTTAACCCTACTGCTGGTACTGCTGCACCACTGAAGAAGAAACCCTGTGTAAAAAAAAAATCTCACTTGGGCTGAAGATACTCCAACAAAGCAACCTGGGTAGCTGACACTTTGTTGAAGTTTTTCCATTTGTAGATTGTCCTATGTCACTTGTTTTGTTTCATTTTTGGAATACATTTTTTAACTTCCTGACCCAAGTTCCTCATATTCTTGCACGGACTAGGTAGTTCGAATTAAAACTCCTAATTTGAACTACCATTACTTCTCCTGTTATGAGGAGTAATAGTAGTTCGAATTAGGAGCTTTAATTCGAACTACCTAGTCCGTGCTGTGTGTAGCCGCGGGCAGGGAGTTCGAACTACGGGGCATTTAAAAATGGCGGCGCCCGGGAACATGCAAATAAAGCCTGGGATATTTAAATCCCGGGCTTCATTTGCAAGTTCAAATGCCTACATTTGCCAGCCTAGTTCGAACTAAGGTGGCAGTGTAAACATACCCTAACATAAAAATCTAGAGTTCTTATGTATCAGTAGTCCTCAGAATGTGGCCAATTATGGTACTTTGAGGCCCCAATCATATTTTATACTCTGACTGTTCTCAAGTGCTCTGCCACAACAGGTCAGCCCTAACCCTGTAGATCCAGATCTTAGAAGATCTCTGATACATAGATATATCCTCAGTTGGAATAGAGCTTCTACAATGGCTTTTAAACCACTACTCTACTGCTGCTGGATTATGGGTTGTGGCTGGGAAGGGGGGGAGGCATCAATTGTGGCCAAAGAACTTTAGGTGATATGACATTAGTATCCCTGCCCTCAGTGAAACCCAGTGAGCAGGAGAAGGACAGCTCAAAGGACAAGGAATCAGATATTATTTTCCTGATGCAGACTGTCAAACTCAGAGTTATATTTGCCAACCAAACTGAACTAATCAACTAATTTAACAAACTCAATTTTTGAATCTAAGAATACATCATGATTCTTTGATTTAAACTCGCAGTGAATCAATATGCTATTGTTATTAGCACATATCCCAAAACTTGATGATGATACCAAAATGAATCCTGCACCAGGCTTGATCAAGTTCTCTATGGTGTATCAGTGACAGATCAGGTCATCCTTCTTCGCAACTTTAAAGCTAGTATCAGATGGGATTCAAAACTATGGAACAGAATCATCAAACGTCCATTGAAAAAGCATTCTTCTTCCTACCAAATGCAGAATATGAACTTGTCACTAACTTTGTTTCACCCACGAAATAAATCAAAGAAATCATGGTAACACCCATAATCTAAGCACTGGCATTTTGTCGACTGTCGTTGTCCAGTAATAGGATTGCACAGATGTCTGTATTGCTCAAGCTATGACTGGAAGTGATGACTACTGGACTGATGGTTCTCTCATCCGCTCAATCAGGACCATCAGACTGGCACCTAAATGATGTCTGCAATGGAAATGATGCAAACAGAAAAATCAACATCAAGGCACTCAAGGATCCAACAAAGTATGACCTCATGCATGAATGCCTCACAAAAAAATGACATATATCAGACAACTGGAATGTTTTGTCTTCAGTGCCTCCAAAGACATGCTAGGGCTGTACTATGAAACATCTTGTGAAAAATTTAAAATTATCAGGAGCTACAGGATTTGATCAGTCACAAATCAAGCCCTTTTGTGTCTGACATCAATTGTGTGCAAAACAAATCCTGTCACCAACGAGGAAAAGCAGAAGTCCAAAAAATAATTAGTGACGTGAAGAACACATGGTGGCTGGATAAATCAAAAGAACTTCAACTTCCTTCAAAAATCCATGATATACTTGGATTCTTTAAGACTGTTATAAACTATATATAGCCCATGTTTCTACAAGTCAACCCCCCTAAGATTTAAGGAGAAGAGATAATCAAATAAATGCA